TGTTCATATATATAAGATTATTCATATTCATGTGTTGTCCTGCCATGTTGATTAAATGTGAATAATATACGATGCGTTATCAAATGAAATAAAAAGGAACAAATTCCCAGTGAGACTCACTCTTTGTGGCACATTTAAGACTGCATTTGAAAGATATTACTTTCTACACTCTGTGTCACACCTGAAACACAAAGCAGCTGGTACATCATTCAAGCATGCAATCATTTAATTACAGGGATGCTGATTTGAACACATGTGAGCTGTTCTCTGCAGTCTTTCTTTGAGTTAAGCAGATAAAAAAAACAGTAAGTGCAGGAACAAAGTCATTTGGCAGGCATTACTTTATTAATGCACGCTAGCACCAGTGAGGAGCTGCAGCACAAGTGGGATGCGCCCCAGTTTTCACAGCACCGCATGTCTATAGGAATATGAATGTGTGACACCAATACATCAGCAAGGTGCTTTTATCATGTGTTTGGCTGAAGAGCTCTGAAGTAGCTCTGTTTAAAGCGACAGTGTGAGATCTGAGGTGAGGAAGAGTGAGAAGTGTTGCTGAACCTGATGAGCACAGAACCCAAGGTGGCACTGATCTCACCTCAAAGTGCTACATGCCTCTAGCATCAGTGCCAGCAGCAGCTGCCAGGTGATAATTGGCAATATCAGCACTTTGTACACCTTTCCCTGAATCTTTATCCTATAGCAGGGGTGATTCTAGGTTCAAACTTTTACGGGGGCTCTGCTCCCAATCATAATGTCATGCATGCAGTGCCTTGTAATTAATATTAATGTCTTAGGCTGTTTGCAGATGTCATCAACATGACAATGGTACCTTCAAAACCAAACCTATTTAGCTGGATGGCCTATTGTAGTGTCTACAGGGATGGGTATCGAAACCCGGTTCTTGTTGAGAACCGGTTCCCACTGTTTCAATTCCTTGGAATTGTTTGCCATTTTTGCAAACGATTCCCTTATCGATTCCAGTCGCCCCGAATGACGTCACCACGTTGCGGAGCGTCATTTACCTGGCAGGAAACATGGCGGCTCAGGGCAATACTTGCAAAGTAGATACTTCATTTAAGGGAGGAAACACTACGAATATGCAAAAGCATTTGCTCACAAAACATGCGATGACCTTAAATGAATGTCGTGTTTTTAATTCTGCTCTGGACTCATGAATCTCAACCCAGCAGCAGCGGTAACGTTTGCACGTCCTCTCCCGTTAATGTGGCAGGTAAATAATCAACTAACAGTGCATATTATGTTAGCGCGATCTGCCTTATTACAAAACCTGCCATTACTGTGCATTTAGGTGACCATGATGAGAGAGACAGACAGAGTCTGCCTGGCAGTTCTCGCTGCAGTCTACCGGTAGCGTCTCCTTTCAGGCCAGGATAGATCAATGTCACCAAGCAGAGACTAAGTTTGTGGTAAAAGGCTTGCACCCATTTGCCACAGCAGATGCCCCCGATTTTCAGTAAGTGAATGTGTTTAATTGTAGGCAGGGACATTACTGGATATTCTTGTGTAATTGCTACAGAATAATTTGTTATACTTTGTTATTGCTACAGAAGAATATTTATTTTATTGTTTTAAAATTAACAATTTTTTTCCTGGGGACCCTGTGACACCCCATTGAAGAGCCGTAGGCTGTGGATCTCTTAAGATCTCACTGTTGGGTTTGTAAGGCCATGTTACTCCTAAATTTCTATCTTGTTCAAAGAGAAGATATAAAACAAAGTTCTAAGCTTATCGACCTTAGTGTTCTCCTTTTTTTTTTTTTAAAAAAGAATCGATAAGAGAATCGATAAAGAATCGAATTGTTAAACAGAATCGAAAATGGAATGGTGAAAATCTTATCAATACTTGCATAAGTATTGATAAGATAAGACACTTATTATTCTTAAGTGTCTAAGAATAATAATTCAGAGTGAATAAGCAGACATTTAAATCTAATCCAGCCTTTCGAGGGTGCAGCCTTTAGTTATCAAATGCGAGGCAAAGACGCAGTCTTTAAAGAGGTTAATTAACTATTTGCGGCAAACCCAACAAGATGAGAAACATGCACAACACGCTTTTGAATTCATGCAAACTCAGACTCAGCACAGAGCATTGTGGGAGCGTTTTACAGTCAATCCTGTAAAACGCTCCCATTCATATCAATGTGTTCTCTTCAGAATGGCGAGTGGCATGTTTTAAGTGTGCTACTGGAAAACACACAAAGCATCTGCGAAATACATAAAAAACAACTTTGTGAAAAATAACTTTTGTTTTTCCACCCGACTTCTCTATTTCGTGTATAATCTGTCCTCTCTTCTCCATCCTCATCACTCAACTAGAAACTAGAAAATATCAAAAATATAATCTTACAATAATTATTATAAGCGCAAGCGGGGATTGCACAATCGTTGTGGGTAAAACAGAAGCCAAAGCTTTATCATTTCTGGTGATTTTGACTAAGTGTCCACTCTCGCCTGTTTCTTTTGCTCTCTCCGTTTTTTGTGCCGTCACCCAAAAGTTAAATGTTACAGTGAATAAAAGACATTAACTGATCCATATCAATTTATAGCTGAATGCAGGCTGCTGCTGGACATAGGTAACATCATTTTGACTTGCTGTCACCTGGATCTGGAGCTGTACTGTAAACAAATGCTGAAGCCCAATTTGATCAGAAAAGGAAGAGAATTTTTTTTAACAAACTAAAATAATAATGTACATCAGTTCCTTGGCTGGCAAATAGCGATGTCCTAGCAGAAGGTTACAATTAGCTAATAATCTCTAGTGATTTAAGCTAAACGAATGTTTAATAATGTTTTTGACGTTATTTTGAGAACAAATAAAAATACGCAGTAATATCTATGTTGCCTATGTTCTACAGCAACAGAACACAGTAAAAAAAACAAGCAAAACAAACAAATTACTTGAAGAGAAAATCAGTACATGTGGCCGAGAAGTAATAAATTATTAAAACAGAAGCAGATGGATTTCAGGTGAAATTCTGGGATATTTGATAGTACCACTGTGAAACCCGAAGGGCTGGCCAAGCCCCTAGAGAGAGGGACCAAGATGAATCCGAATCAAGTGACTACTTCTGATTTTATCTCAAAACATAAAAGGAACCTTCCCCAGACCTCTGCTCTGTCATAATAACTTCCTTCTTTAAATGGCATAAAACAATGCTTTGTTTTTTCCTGTATTTAAACCCAGATGCAACATCTTAAAGAGTAATATCAATTTTTCCTGGAACTGCACTAGAGATCTCCATATTCCTTACTTTTTTTCTTTACATGTTTCTGTCATGGAGTCAGGTTTGAAGTATTTTCATTGTGTTTCCTAGTGTTTTACCCTGTGTCTCGTGTGAATCTCTCTCTGTGGTCTAATAATGTTTGCCTATGTCAAATTCTTCCTGTTTTATTTTTGGAGTGACTTTCTTTGTGCATGACCATTTGTTTTGCTTCCTTTAGTAATTATCTGCATCAATACAGTCGTGTCCTTTTTTTTACTTTTCAGGTTTCCATGTGAATATTTCTTCAGTCCTTTTTTTCTTTTTGCTTTCCTAAAGTTTTTTGCTTTTGTTCAGTAAACTTTCTTGTTGTGTTTGCATTTGTTGATAAATCTTGAAACAGTATGATTAGCTAGCTGTTGTAGCGTGGCTGTGCTAGACGTGCGATAGCAAATGTTGCATTGTGATAATCAAATACTTCAAACATATACTTTGTGTTGCAATTGAAATGACCTGAATTCAGACGTTAAGGTCACAGACCTCAAGTGTCTTTAAGTTTCCTGACCCTAATAAGTTGCATTTTTCTTGAGCACAACAGCTGAGCCAAGCCACAAAGATGAGATTAGCTCATCTGATCTTGATGCAAGCCTGCATCAGCTGATTCCTCAATAGGTAACAACTCTCACAAAGTATGTGCTACTTAAGCGCACATTTGCACATCTGCAAGCCACTTTGCAAGCCACGTCCAGATGCAAGCCACGTCCATATGTCATACTGAGTCTTACTTTGGGGTGGCTGTGGCTCAGAAGGTAGAGAAGGTCATCAACTATTCAGAAGGCAGGTGGTTCAATTCCTAGGTGCTCCAGTCTGCATGCCAAAGTGTCCTTGGGCAATTGCTCCTGATGTATTCATCGGAGTGACAGAAAGTATTTAGATGTTTTCCATGTATGTATGTGGAAGGGTGGGGAGGTCCTGGGACAGATTCGTGTTCACAAAAAAAAATGATATATAATGTATTACATAGCTGCTGTGACATATTACAATATGTTTTAAACACGTAGATAACCTGCCCCCACCCTAGGGTCCTGTTTGAATTTATTTAGCATATTTATTTAGCTTTCAGCTTCCTCCTCATGTTCTGAGGGAACTCCAAAGCAGCTCTAAGTGATCTAGATAAGCATAATTTTCCACTATATACACACTACAACATCATCAAGATCAAAGAATGGTTTACTGAACGAAAACAGAATCACACCTGGCCATAAATGACCCCTCCCTCTATGAAACACAGTGGTATTCCTAATGAGCCATGTTGTATATTTTGTTCCTTGTTTGGATCTATTGTGCAGGCATAAGCCATATTTGAATACTAACCATAGAAAATCATCACAGTAGTACTCATGTAAGATTTTGTCTTTTATCAGCTTTATTGACAGAGACAGTGAAGAGATGACAGGAAAGCAGAGGGAGAGAGAGAGAGAGAGACGGGACTTGAACCCAGGCCAGCTGCTCAACGCACTGAGCTAAACCAGCAACCTTCCTTGTTGATTTTTACGTGATAAAAACACATGAGTTGTTAAGAGCTGTGTGTTTTAGCTTGAGGTGGGAGTAGATAGAAGGCATAGTCAAAGATTGTCTGCAAGTGTGCAAAAGCTAATGCTATTGTTTTTGTATTTGCACCAGCAAGGAGTTTTTATTGTTGCATTGTCTAAAACGCAGCACCCTTTGCACCCTTGCAACCAAAACCTGTCAGGGGAAACAATACGATAGATACACTTACCTCTTCAGGAAGGCTAACAACCAAGCCATTCTCTGCCTGGCCCACCAACGCCTGGAGGAAATACTCGCTGCACGCAGCCAGCACAGCCCGATGTCCTCGGAATTCCTTGCCTTCCACCAGGACAGTCACATCACACAGGATATCCTGCTTCCGCTGGTCGTTGAGGCAGAGGAGGATATTGGTACAATGAACTGTTGACTCATACACATACATGGGGGCTTCAGACTTCTCATCCACGGACATTCCGCTCACGCCCTGGAAATAGAAGCAAAATAGAGGGGGGGTCAGCTTACAGCCAAGCCCGGCAGGCACATACCGCAGGGCTGACATCAGCCCCAGTGGTCTGCTGTAGCCAGCCTCATGACTGACTGCTGTTTCACGTGCTCACTCCTAGTTCAACATTTAAAAGCCAGTGATTGTTGTTGTGCACGTTTCAATACAAAATATGCATATACACCTGAAATTCACAGGTATTCCCTACATTACTGCTTGTCATGTCACATTAAAATCATATCCAGTCAATAACCAGGAAACAAAACCACACTGTACACTTTGATGCATTTACTTTTGAGGTCTATGAGTGTTTGAAATTACCCTTCCTGTGGACATCCACATGCACACCTATTTTTTATGAAGACACTGACTTAAAAATACACTGCACAACTAAGTGTACATCTTTCAGGTGGACTCCAAGAAAACTTGAAAATAGTAGAATAACAGACGTTCATCTAATATTTGTACGACCAAACTGCTCCTGTGGCAAATGGGAACAGTTTTATTATCAGCTTTTAAAGATTATTTAACACAATAACCTGGCACCAAAATACTACTTTTCTAGTTTAACTGACTGCACACTTTTAACTACAAGGCACATTCACACAGTGCTTTATTCTATACAGTAAGGGAGGAAAACCAACACAGTCACAGCGAAGAGCTCCACACAGAAAAGCCTTGCTGTCCAAGAGGTTTGAACCCCAAACCTTTTCGCTTGTGAGAGTGTAATGCTAATGATCAGGTCAAGTCGACCCAGTAAAAAAAGTTGGTTAACTCATTATTGGGGCAGGTCTGTTGTCCCCCAGTCCAGTGTTCTTATTTACCACTACTGGTGGTGCTCCTGTTAAAAAACCTTAATTTATACGCCTTGGAGAGAAAAAATAAATTAAAACATTAGCAGAATATTGTTCTTAATTAGTATAAAATGCTATAACAAACAAATCAGTGAACCTTAACACAGTTCAAATAAAAATCCTGGTTCTTTCCCAGTGCTTTCAGTCTTCATTGCTCAGACTGGGTAGATAAGTCCTGATTTCATGCAATAACACAAGGATACACAGTAAGACAGGATTGACTGTCTGACCCTTACAGTTTTAGTTGCCTTTAATCAAACTACCACTAATGTATTCACACAAAGATAACCTGGAGGCAAAGTGGACAGGACAGTCATCCACTGAGCCTGGTTGGTAATCCACGCTTGGATTTACGGGAATAGTTATAAGGGAAGACAGTTACTGGGAAAGCTCTATAGGAGAGCTAGACAGAATCAGAGTCTTCCACAATGGGTCTTTTGGCCTATCCTATCGCAGTTGCATTCTTAGGTGTGTAAAAGTAAATAGCATCAAATGGGCATGGCCTTTGAGGTTTTGTGCCTGACTGTCATGGCAGTAAGTCCGCCTAATTTCCTATTCAGACCACAAGAAGTTGAACTCTGGGAACATGCACACGCAGCACGTGCCCCTGTGGAAACGTTTTCATGTCAAACGTTCCATTCTGGTCACTCGCCCCAGTGACGACAGACCTAGAGGTATCTTCCTTCACACACACACACAAAAGCAGGAAAGGGGAAAAGCTATCAGACAAATGTCTAAAAAATCTGATTACAGAGAGAAATGCCTTTATGCCTCTATGTGGAATTGTACTAATTAAAGAGTAATGCATGGTGCTGGACGCTGTATACACTGAGATGCTTTTGACTGACAGATAATGTGCCACAGGGCTGTTTTTACAGAAAAGGGTGCTCAGTGGACTTTTTGCTTCTTTTTTAAAACATATACGTATAAAATATGGGAAAACACACAAACTCCTACTGTTAAAATGGCCAAATAATCATGTAAACACAGAAGGAAACTCTAAGTGCCTTACAGTTTTACATATGAAGACATTTTCTGGCAGAGAAAAAGCGCTAGTGGAGAAAACACAACTAGCATCCTGTAACATTAAAAATCTGCTGATGAGCACCTTCACAATGATTTTGTCTTCAATCACAAATCAGTTTTCTGAGCCTGTTGGATCTTCCCATTCTTTGGGTTATCTCACGGAAAGTGGGAAAGGTGTGGGCAGGTGTAGCTAATTTTACTAGACCTAGCAAGAAAGCACTTTTATGACTTACTCATAAAATACCAAATAACCTATAAACCAACAAAAACTCTAATTGACTTACAGTTTTTTGAATGAAAACGCTCTCTGGAAGAGGAATTCCACAAACAACTCCTTCTAACCTTATTTATTTTCTCCATTAACATTCTCAAAGCAGCCATCATATCTATCGCTTGCTCTTTCTTGGCCTGAAACCAATAAAGGTAAATGGTAAATGGACTGGTTCTAATGTAGCACGCTTCTACTCTGGTAGAGCACTCAAAGCACTTTACTTTACTAACATGCCTCATTCACCCATTCATAGAAGAGACCTACTCTACCTCCTGAGCTACAGCGATACCTATGCCTATATCATAACCTCACTTCATAACTCTTTCCCACAGCTTCATGGTATGGCTCATGAATGTATTGTTTTGTAGTTACTACAACTCTCCATATCACCCTGGATCTTGAAAACTGGTACGAGTACACAGTACCATTTCTAAAACATCCTCTCACTCTCCAAGAGTGTGCTATACAATCTGTTCCAAAACCCCCGCTCACTTCCGTCTTCTCCATACCTCTGCAGATATGTAGTTGGGACTACAATCTTCATCCTCTTCTTTCTCCAACTAGCCAACAATAAATTGGCCAGTTGAATTTGACAACATAAATAAAGACATAAATAAAAGGGAGGAAGTATTGCAATTATACAAATGAGTTAGCAACTGCATGACCCGTTTTTGACCTCTGGTTTATGAAGAAACTGATTTTGCTTTAAACCATGTTTGAAAATGAGGAATCACAGCCTGGGGTTCTGGTCTTTTGTGCAAGACATCTGAGGACAAAATACTTGTCAATCACCTATTCTATACTTTTTTAAAGTCTATTAGAAATATCTGATACAAACAAATGCATACTGAGCATACACCACAAATAAGGGAAGTGAAAACTGTGAGCTGCCTTTGCAAGAAATCGTTGCATTAAGGTTGTTTGTGGCCTTTGTTGTGACTGAGTTGTAATAATGATTTGACTGGGGTGGTCAAAGCACACAGTAAGATGTGACAGCTGTTCTTGTTGTTGAAGTATGTCAGTCTAGTCTGGTCCAAATGATATATAGTTATGATACTTTCACTAAACACTTCTCAGTTAGTTTTGCAGGATCATGATCTGTCTTCCAAGAATAATGTTTTCAGATGTAGCTGCAAGGTTCAAGGCCATGTGAACGTGATGTTTGCACCCTAGAATTCAATTCACTTGCAGTCGGAGGAAAATGCAATGATAACACAACACAATGATGCAGCATAACACACGTGTCTGCGCGCACACACACACACACACACACACACACACACACACACACACACACACACACACACACACACACACACACACCACAAAATAGCAGTTTGTGGCAGAAGTTTGATTAGATGCACAGATGGATGTAAAAGGTTTCTTCCCTTCTACTTAGCTTAAATGTGTCAGTCACGTCTATTTTATAATATTACTGGTATTACTGCATTCTTCTCTAACGTTAGCAAATGATTATTCTGCTAATATACTACCAGCCAAAAGGTTTTTAAGGCCTGTTTAAGGCTTCCTGCATCATTCTTTCCTCCGTCACACACATCAATTGTAATCTGTTCAGTAGGTCTCATGATTGTTATGGAGAAACACAGCTAAGTTGAGTAACGTTTAGCCCCTGAAGAGAAAAATCACATTTGCATAGAAAATCAGTGAAGTGAAAAGGGAAAAACAGCAGAATGTGTGAGTCAGCTTCAGCTTGATTGTATCACATGACAGGTTTTGGTTTGGGGGATTTAAGAAGGTGGGATTGTAATGTGTGACAGTGTGCTATAATGTGCTCTATAAAGTGTTCCCCTTTCTCTCAGTGTCTCAGCAGACTAACTAACATGCAGTGTGGGTGGAAGGAAGGAGACGGACTAAGTTATGATTAGACTGAGCCCTAGTGGCAGATGCATGTTTTTTCCTATAATAAAAAACATACTGTTCCAGAGAACACTATGATATCAGTGCACTCCAGCATTTCATGTGAAACTAGCCTCTTTCCTCTTTAGCTGAGTCTCAAACCATGAAGGAGATGGGGAAATATCATCCATTAAGTCCTAGTTTTAAAACATTCAATTCAGTCCTATTTCAATTACATTTCATTATATAATGCCAGTTCATAACAACACAACAGTAACCTAGGTGACTTTATATTGTAAGATCTCTATTTTAGCAGGACGGCAGCTCCAGAGAAAGCAGAATCAGGATCAGGGAGGGGCAGTAATCTGCTACAACTGGTTAGGAGTAAGGGAAAAGAGGAGAGAGCAGAGAGAGATGGGACAAAAGGCAAACTATAGGAGGAAGGGCCAGTTTATTAATTGCTCCACTACTATATTTAGACAGAGAGTGAAAAGAGGTAAGTGAAGAAGAAATGCTCTGCATCGTGAGAAGCCTAAGCCTATTGAGGCATAACTAGTGCATGGTTCAGGATCACTAGTTATGACTAGTTATATATACAAGGGAATCAAGCATCTCTGATTTGTTGCCTTCTTTCTATCTAAAACCGCACACGTTCTCACGCCCCATCTTATCTTAATTAAACACCTCATTCTACCACATCACCCAAATTCAGTCATTTGCTCTCAGACTGCTGGCTTACTAGTAGTTCTTAGGGTTCTTAGGGAGACCGAGCCTTGAGTTTTGAGGCCCTTCTTCTGTGCAACCAGCTCCCAGTTTAAATTTGGGAAATAGACACCCTGTCTACTTTCAACATTAGGCTTGAAAGTAGGCAGGGTGCCCTAACCATAAGCTCTATGTGCTTTATCCTTTTTTGATAAAGCACATAGTTAAGGTTAAGTTCCTTAACTCACTATGTGTTTATACACCAGTCTGCA